GGCACAATTGAAAAGGGCCTACTGCACCTGCTCTCAGGTTCAGATAAATTCTCAATGTACCTCCTTCCTTTTTTCCCCACAAGAATATTATTATTATTATTATTATTATTGCCATTTATATAGCGCCAACGGATTCCGTAGCGCTTTACAATATTTTGAGAGGGGGGGTGTAACAATAAATAGGACAATTACAAGAAAACTTACAGGAACAATAGGTTGAAGAGGACCCTGCTCAAACGAGCTTACAGACTATTGGAGGTGGGGTATTTGAAACATTAGGACAATAAATATCAAGTAGGAGTGAAGCAGAGCTGGAGGAGAGAGCAAAGCACTGTCCCATAGGAGAGAGCAGGAGACAGGTATGTAAGGTAGAGATTACTCTGGGAGGCCATAAGCTTTCCTGAAGAGATGGGTTTTAAGGCCCTTCTTAAATGATTGAAGACTAGGGGAGAGTCTGATGGCAGTAGGCAAGCTATTCCATAGGAGAGGAGCCGCCCGCGAGAGGTCCTGCAAGCGCGAGTTGGCCGTACGGGTGCGAGCAGCGGTCAGGAGGTGGTCACGGGCAGAGCGGAGGGTACGAGGAGGGGCATATTTATGGATCAGTGAAGAGATATAAGCGGGGCTAGAACTGTTCAGTGCTTTAAATGTATGGGTTAGCACTTTGAATTGACTCCTATAGCATACAGGGAGCCAATGTAAGGACCGGCAGAGGGGTGAGGTGTGAGAGGACCGACTAGAGAGGAAAATCAGTCTAGCTGCAGCATTCATTACAGACTGTAGCGGGGCAATACGGCTTTTGGGGAGACCAATCAGGAGAGGGTTACAGTAATCCATGCGGGAAATTACTAGAGCATGGACAAGCTCCTTGGTAGCATCTTGCGTAAGAAAGGGGCGAATGCGGGCTATGTTTTTGAGTTGGAACCTACAGGACTTGGCAACAAACTGGATGTGAGACTCAAAGGTGAGACCAGAGTCAAGTATGACGCCAAGACAGCGTGCTTGCAGGGATGGACTTATGTGGATATCACTGACTTGAAGGGAGAGCGAGAGAGGAGGATCAGTATTAGGAGGAGGAAAGACAAGGAGTTCAGTTTTAGAGAGGTTAAGTTTCAGAAAGCGTGAAGACATCCAGTCAGAGATGGAAGAAAGGCAAGCAGTGACACATTGCAGGACAGCAGGGGAGAGGTCCGGGGAGGAGAGGTATATCTGAGTGTCATCAGCGTACAGGTGGTAGTGGAATCCAAAAGAGGCAATCAGTTTACCAAGAGAGGCGGTATAAAGAGAAAATAGAAGGGGACCAAGGACAGACCCTTGGGGAACTCCAACCGAGACAGGACGAGTGGAGGAGGTATCCTTGGAAAAGGAGACACTGAATGAGCGTTGGGAGAGATAGGAGGAAAACCAAGAGAGGACCGAGTCACAGAGACCGAGCGATTGAAGAGTTTGAAGGAGGAGAGCATGATCAACGGTGTCAAAGGCAGCAGAGAGGTCAAGGAGAATTAATATGGAGTAATGACCTTTGGATTTAGCGGAGATTAGGTCATTAGTCACTTTGATAAGAGCAGTCTCAGTAGAGTGGAGAGGGCGGAAGCCAGACTGAAGAGGGTCAAGGAGAGAGTTGGAATTAAGGAAGCGGGACACACGGGTAAAGACAAGCCTTTCCAAAAGCTTTGATGAGAAAGGGAGCAGGGATATGGGACGATAGTTAGAAGGGGAGGATGGGTCAAGAGATGTTTTTTTCAGGATAGGTATTACAGTGGCATGTTTAAGGTCAGCAGGAACAGTGCCAGAAGAGAGAGAGCAGTTAAAGATGTGTGTTAGGGTAGGCACAAGACAAGGGGAGAGAGATCTGATGAGGTGAGATGGGACAGGATCGAGCGGGCAAGTGGTGGGGCGAGAGGAATGGAGAAGCGCAGCCACCTCTTGTTCAGTAGCCGGGTAGAAAGTCTGGAGGGTAGGGAAAGCAAGATTTACATGTGGTTGAGAAAGAGAACGGCAAGGAGGGGAGAATTGTTTCCTTAGCTGTTCAATCTTGTCGGTAAAGTAGCATGCAAAGCTATCAGCTGTAAGGTTAGTTTGGGGGGTGGCCACAGCAGGGCGGAGAAGGGAATTAAAGGTGTCAAAGAGGCGTCTGGGATTGCGGGAGCATGAACTAATGAGAGAGGAAAAGTATGACTGTTTGGCGAGGGCGAGGGCTGCGCTGTATGAAAGCAACATGAATCTATAATGGAGAAAGTCTGCCTGGGTGCGGGACTTCCTCCAGGAGCGTTCAGCACAACGGGAGCAACTCTGCAGATAGCGTGTTGATTTATTATGCCAAGGTTGGGGTCGTGTTCTCCTCGAGGTGCATGTTTTGAGCGGGGCTGCAGCGTTCAAGGCAGATGTGAGGGTAGTGTTATATGTGGAGATGGCCAGTGAGGGACAGGAGAGGGAAGGGATGGATAGCAGTTGTGAATCAATGTCAGCTGACAGCTGCTTGAGGTCAATAGAGTTAAGGTTCCTCCTGAGCTGAGGGGGGTTAGGCTGAGATTGTTGGGTGAGGGGGTAATTGAGAGCAAATGATAAGAGGTGGTGATCAGAGAGAGGAAATGGGGTGTTGCAGATATTAGATATTGTACATGAATAAGAGAAAATAAGGTTGAGGGTATTGCCAGCTACATGAGTGGGAGAATTAGCCCACTGCAAAAGTCCAAGGGAGGAAGTGATTGAAAGTAGTTTAGAGGCTGCTGGGGTCAAAGGTGGGTTAACGGGAATATTGAAGTCTCCAAGAATTAGGGATGGGATGTTGGAAGAGAGGAAGTAGGGTAGCCAGGCAGCAAAGTGGTCAAGGAAGAGGAGAGGGGAACCAGGGGGACGATAGATTACGGCAATGTTAGCAGAGAAGGGTTTGAAAAGGCGAATTGAATGAATTTCAAATGATGGGAAAGAGAGGGAAGGGGGGGGTAGACAGGGTTTTAAAGGTGCAGTGGGGTGAGAGAAGAAAACCTACACCGCCACCTTTAATCTCTGCTTGTCTTGGGTTGTGGGTAAAGTGAAGACCACCAAAAGACAGTGAGGCAGGTGTAGCAGTATCAGAGGGAGAGAGCCATGTTTCTGTTAGTGCAAGTATGTTTAGGGAGTGTGAGATAAATAGGTCATGGATGGAAGTAGATTTAAAGGTGCTGCACACAGAGCGTGCATTCCAGAGGGCAGCTTTAAAAGAGGAATTATAGTGAGAATTACATGGAATGGGTATTAGGTTGTTGTGGTTTCTGGTGTTTGTACCAGGTGGCTGAGAAGAGGAGGGACCAGGGTTTGGAGAGACATCACCTGCTGCTAGGAGTAGTAGGATGGAAAGGAAGAGAAGGTGGGAGTAAGATTTAAATGTTGGGGATGAGAGCTTGTATTTAGGGTATTTAGGAGGGGTTTGTGGAGAAAGGCTGGATAGATATGAATAAAGTGCGTGTGATGAATACTGAGATGAGGGGAGCAGAGAGGGAGCAATGAAGATGGTGTTAGCAGGAACAGGTAAGTAAAATGATAGAGAGATTTTAATGATGAGGGAAGTGAGAGAGAAAGTGAAAAATAGAAGTGAGAACATTAGTAGGAGAGTAGGTGCTGTATTTTTAAGAGCTGTGGTTAGGAGGGTTAAGGGTTAAAGAGGTATTGAGTGAGTATAGCTTTTTTTGGGTGTGGAGGGCTTGGTGGACAGAGGCTAACATAATTGGTTCAGAGGAATGGTAGGTAATTTGAACTATCTATAAATGTAGTGATAACCATGGGGAAGGTGGGTGGGAAGCGATCATCCAGAAATGCTACCTCTGCTTATGGCAAGTCCTGCAGGGTTGTGTGCTGGGAGTCCTGGGTGTAGCTGATTCAATATTGTATGGGGCCCAGGCTATAAAGGAGAGAATCTGGGGTTAGATAAAGCAGATTGTGGGTGGAGAATCATTGGGGTGTTAAAAACAAAAATCAAGGAAAAAACAGATGAAAGGGAATTTAAATTTAAGGATATGAGGGAATGGCAGAGATAAGATAGGTAAAAGTCATAAATAGGGAACATCATAAATTAATGAGGCATAGAGTGCAACAACTAACACTAGCAAAACAAACATGTAAGTAAACAAGAGTTAAAGGATGGAGGGTGCAATAGTCATCAATTAAGCAGTAATAATGTGGGGGGTGGATAAAGAAAGAAATATAGTTTATAACAAAAGTAGGAGAAATAAGAAGTCCAGGTATTCAAGATGATCATCCAGAAATGCTACCTCTGCTTATGGCAAGTCCTGCAGGGTTGTGTGCTGGGAGTCCTGGGTGTAGCTGATTCAATATTGTATGGGGCCCAGGCTCTGCTTATGGCAAGTCCTGCAGGGTTGTGTGCTGGGAGTCCTGGGTGTAGCTGATTCAATATTGTATGGGGCCCAGGCTCTGCTTATGGCAAGTCCTGCAGGGTTGTGTGCTGGGAGTCCTGGGTGTAGCTGATTCAATATTGTATGGGGCCCAGGCTCTGCTTATGGCAAGTCCTGCAGGGTTGTGTGCTGGGAGTCCTGGGTGTAGCTGATTCAATATTGTATGGGGCCCAGGCTCTGCTTATGGCAAGTCCTGCAGGGTTGTGTGCTGGGAGTCCTGGGTGTAGCTGATTCAATATTGTATGGGGCCCAGGCTCTGCTTATGGCAAGTCCTGCAGGGTTGTGTGCTGGGAGTCCTGGGAACTAATGTGCTACATTATATTAAAATACAAAATATGTCAGGCAAATGGTATGTTTTGATTGGTGATTTAGGCACTTTCTTTTGATTCATAGCATGATTTTATATTAAGGGGCACCTAAAAATGCAATTACCTATCGTGTCTTCTAGGAAATAGGAGTTAGAATACAAGATTGGAAAAATGAAATACATTTCTGAATTTGTGTTTCTGGTTTCATTAGCTTGACCTCGATCTGCAACTAGTCTTTGCAGCTATACATCAAACCGTTCCCCATTTGATTATAAAGAAGAAATTGTGAGAATATAAAATCTATTTATTTTTTAAATTCTTTATTTTTTGCTCTGACAGTCAAGCATTGTTACAATAGTGCAGACATAGGTGGATAAATGACTGTAAATAAAATCTATTTTTACAAACAGGCTGAGCCATAGAGAAATTATGAGGAACATGTCTGAGATACAAGGGTCATTGTCCATCCTATAGGTCATGGGGCACAGAGTATACTTCCGATGATTTATGAGGCTCAAGTGAGTCTGTGTGCCATAAGCTCTTATGGGGCCACTCTTATGTAAAATGGGACTGAGGCACATTTTAGATCCTAAAGTTGTTAATCAAATTTGGGCCAAATACAGATGACTATATACTACACTGATTACACCCTGTTCCAAATTATTATGCAAATTCTATTTAAGTGTCACAAAGATTAAATATTTTGTTTTTCAGTTTAACTCATGGATGGCATTGTGTCTCAGGGCTCTTTTGATCACTGAAAACAATCTTGGACACCTATGATAATGAGATTGCCAGGTGAGCCCAATTTAAGGAAAAACTACTAAAGGAGGGTGTTCCACATTATTAAGCAGAGCACCATTTTTATGCAATATGGGTAAGAAAAAGGATCTCTCTGCTGCCGAAAAGAGTGAAATAGTTCAATGCCTTGGACGAGGTATGAAAACATTAGATATTTCACGAAAAACTTAAGCGTGATCATTGCACTATTAAGAGATTTGTGGCTGATTCAGTGCACAGACGGGTTCGTGCAGATAAAGGCACATTGAGGAAGATTTCTGCCAGATCCATGCATCGGATCAAGAGAGCAGCTGCTAAAATACCATTACTTAGCAGCAAACAGATATTTGAAGCTGCTGGTGCCTCTGGAGTCCCACGGACATCAAGGTGTAGAGTCCTCCAGAGTCTTGCAACTGTGCATAAACCTTCTATTTGACCACCACTAACCAATGCTCACAAGCAAAAATGGCTGCATTGGGCAGAAAAATACATGAAGACTAATTTTCAAACAGTCCTGTTCACTGATGAGTGCTGTGCAACCCTGGATGATCCAGATGGATGGAGTAGTGGATGGTTGGTGGACAGCCACCCTGTTCCAACAAGGCTGCGACGTCAGCAAGGCGGTGGTGGAGTCATGTTTTGGGCCGGAATCATGGGAAGAGAGCTGGTCGGCCCCTTTAGGGTCCCCGAAGGTGTAAAGATGACCTCTGCAAAGTATGTGGAATTTCTGAATGACCACTTTCTTCCCTGGTACAGAAGGAAGAACTATGCTTTCTGTAATAAAATCATCTTCATGCATGACAATGCACCATCTCATGCAGCAAAGAATACCTCTGCATCAATGGCTGCTATGGGGATAAAAGGAGAGAAAGTCATGGTTTAGCCTCCATCCTCCCCTGACCTCAATCCTTTTGAGAACCTTTGGAGCATCCTCAAGCAAAAGATCTATGAGGGTGGGAGGCAGTTTACACCAAAACAGCAGCTCTGGGAGGGTATTCTGACATCTTGCAAACAAATTCAAGCAGAAACTGTCACAAGTTCAATGGATGCAAGACTTGTGAAGCTGCTATCAAATAAGGGGTCCTATGTTAAAATGTAACGTGACCTGTTAAAATGTTTAAAAAGTTAAAATGTTGTTATAAGTTTGATTGAAATAGCTTTTGATTTCAGTAAATATGCAGCAAACACAACAAATGACAATTTTCAGTTCTTTACAACCTATAAAGTGTAAACTTACTGTGTGTAATAATTTGGAACAGTGCATTGTAAGTTTTTTATGTTTAAAAAAAATACTGTTATCATTAGGAGGTTTGTTCAGTAAAATGTGATAACATGAGAATTATGCTGACTGTTACTTACATCAATTATTTAGGTAAATTAGAAAAATATAATTTGCATAATAATTTGGAACAGGGTGTAGTATATACACACTAAGACATCTGAGCCTCCCTTTCCACACTCTATAAGTATGGCACCCAGCACTTCTTGTTTAAAAAATGTTTATTAAGCAAGACCGATACACACAAAACATTATGCTGGCACAAAACAAAAAGGTTCTAGGAATCAGGTCATAGAGGCAAAACAAGAGAAATTACATCATTTTCTATAAATGTGAACAGAATAAGCACATTACAGTAAAAAATGGGTAGCTAAAGTAAGGAAATATAAGTTTTGTTAAGTAGCATCATGAAGATGAGCTATGTGACGGTAGTCACCATCACTGGGGATGGAAGACAGACACTGTGTGTGGGTCCCCAGATTTCTCTTGTGTTTTGGCATCCTGTGCCCAGTATTAGTGCAGGGTATGTTGAATGTATTGATTGTCAATGCCTTACCCCTTCCCCCTTTGTTCTGTCCTATTGTTTTCCAAGCAGGGTGTTGTCCTAGGGACACTGTCCCTCCTCAACCTCCCATTTGGTTCTCGGCCCTTGCTATTTTCTGTCCCTACCTTCCATGTACTATAGTGCTCTATTCACCCTATTGATTGTAAATGAGGCTGTTGGGGGCATAAATATGTGTGCTGTGTTTATTAAAGTTAGTTGTTGTTTTAACCTTCACCAAGTGTCATCTGGTGTATGGGAAGAGCTCTGATTACTGCCCTACAGATGGAAAGGGAATCCAGGGCTCTAATCGTAGTAGTCTGG